ACTTAGGTTGCTTCCATATTTTGGTTGTAGCAAATAGTGCAGTGATAAATATAGCAGTGCATATGCCTTTTTGCATCAGGGATTTTATTTTCTTTGGGTAAATTCTTAGGAGTGGAATGACTGGGTCAAATGGTATTTCTGTTTTTAGTTTTCTGAGGAACCTCCATGTTGCTTTCCACAGCGGTTGAACCAATCTACATTCCCACCAACAGTGTAGGAAGACTCCCTTTTCACCATATCCATGCCAGTATTTGTTGTTTCTTGTCTTTTGGACAGTGGCTATCCTAATTGGTGTGAGGTGATATCTCATTGTGGTTTAAATTTGCATTTCCCATATGATTATTGATGTGGAGCATCTTTTCATGTACCTGTTGGCCATCTGTATTTCTTCTTTGGAAAAGTGTCTGTTCAGGTTCTCCACCCATATTTTAATCGGGTTGTTTGGTTTTTTTGGTGTTGAGGCATATGAGTTCTTTATATATTTTGGATGTTAACCCCTTATTGGATAAATCATTGACAAATATATTCTCCATAGTGTAGGATGCCTTTTTCTTCTGCTGATGGTATCCTTTGCTGTACAGAAGCTTTTTAGTTTGATGTAGTCTCACTTGTTCATTTTTTATTTTGTTTCTCTTACCCAAGGAGATGTGTCTAGGAAAAAATTGCTCATGCTTATATTCAAGAAATTTTTGACTCTGTTTTCTTTTAAGAGTTTTATGGTTTCACGACTTACATTCATGTCTTTGATCCATTTCAAGTTCACACTTGTGTATGGAGTTAGACAATAATCCAGTTTCATTCTCTTGCATGGAGCTGCCCAGTTTTGTCAACACCAGCTGTTGAAGAGGCTGTAATTTCTCCATTGTATGTCCATGGCTCCTTTATTGTATATTAACTGGCCATATATGGTTGGGTTTGTATCTGGGCCCTCTATTCTGTTCCATTGGTCTATGGGTCTGTTCTTGTGCTGCTACCAAATTGTCTTGATTACTGTGGCTTTGTAGTAGAGCTTGAAGTTGGGGAGCATAATCCCCCCAGCTTTATTATTCCTTCTCAGGATTGCTTTGTCTATTTGGGGTCTTTTGTGGTTCCATATGAATTTTAGAACGATTTGCTCTAGTTCATTGAAGAATGCTTTTGGTATTTTGATAGGAATTGCATTGAATCTGTACATTGCTTTAGGCAGGATGGCCATTTTGAGAATATTAATTCTTCCTATCCATGAGCACAGGATGTTTCCATTTATTGGTAGCTTCTTTAATTTCTCTCATGAGTGTCTTGTAGTTTTCAGAGTATAGGTCTTTCACCTCCTTTGTTAGTTTTGTTCCTAGGTATTTTATTCTTTTCGATGCAGTTGTGAATGGAATCGTTTTCCTGATTTCTCTTTCTGCTAGTTCATCATTAAGGGTAAAGAAATGCAACAGATTTCTGTGTATTAATTTTGTATCCTGCAACTTTGCTGAATTTAGATATTAGATCTAGAGTTTTGGAGTGGAGTCTTTAGGGTTTTTTATGTACAATATCATGTCATCTGCAAACAGTGACAGTTTAACTTCTTCTTTACCAATCTAGATGCTCTGTATTTGTTTGTGTTGTCAAATTGCTGTAGCGAGGACCTCCAGAAGTATGTTGAATAAAAGTGGAGAGAGTGGGCATCCTTGTCGTGTTCCTGATCTTAAAGGAAAGGCTTTCAGCTTCTCATTGTTATGTATGATGTTGGCTGTGGGTTTGTCATATATGGCCTTTATTATGTTGAGGTACTTGCCCTCTATACCCATTTTGTTGAGAGTTTTTAGCATGAATGGATGTTGAATTTTGTCAAATGCTTTATCGGCATCTATGGAGATGATCATGTGGTTTTTGTCCTTTTTGTTGATGTGGTGTCATCCAGTCTACTTTTAAATCCCTCTGTTGTATGTTTCATTTCAGATACTGTATTTTTCAAAGTTTTTATCTCTTTGTTGAAGTACTCCCTGAGATCTTCACTATTTTTCTCTGGCTCCATGAGCATGTTTATGACTTTTATTTTGAAATCTTTATCAAGAAGATTGGTGATTTCAGTTTCACTAAGTTGTCTTTCTGTTTTTTTTTTCTTGAATTTGTGTTTCAGCCAAATTCCTCTGTCTCTTCATTTTTTTAAGCCTTCCTTATGGGATAATAGGTTTTTGTAGGCTGTGCCTGCTACTGCCAAGAAGCTGTACTCTCTGGAGCTGCAGCAGTGGCTGGGGTCACAGGTGGGAAAGAAAAAGCTGGGCTGGGAGGGTTTCCTACATTCCCTGCCTTAACGCTTGCCTCCACTGCTAAGTCCAGTGGGCTGTGTGTGCCAGCAGGATCCTCTGTGCTATGCTTCTGTAGCTGCCATAGGCAGGGCCACCCTCTGGGTGGCCTGGTGCGATGGTTGGGGCAGTAAGGGAGTGGGACTGGCGCCTGCTGGGAGGAAGGAGTGGCAGGCTATGGATGGCAGTGGGTGGGCTTTGGGGCTATGTTGCCAGCCAGGGAGATGAAGTGTTTGAAGATCCTGAGAGTTCCTAACCTATTGTACTGAGCATGGTGGGACAATTTTGTCCACTTGTCCTTTCTCCAGGGCAGTGAGCTCTATGTAATCTTTGCCCCTTTAGTGACTCTATCACTGCTGGGAAGTCTTTCAAAGTGCCTGTCTTTCTTTGGTCCTGGGGGTAGGTACCTGTTCTCTACAAGCGACTGGAATCTCAGTCTCTCTGAGTATTCTGCCTGTCTTTGCTTTCCAACCCCACTAATCTCCAGAGCACCATGTAATGTGGATTTGTGCCTCTTTACCAGAGGTCCAGGGCTTGGTGTTCAGCAGCCCTGGGCTTCTACTCCCTCCCCACTCTGTTTCTTTTCCTCCTGCCCTTGAGCTGGGTTGAGGGGATGGCTTGAGTCCCACTGGATTGTGGCTTTGCTGCTTTACCCTTTTCTGTGACATCTTCTCTTTTTCTCCAGATGTAGGCAGTCTGTTCTGCAACCTTCAGGTTGCTTTTTCAGGATTAGTTGTATTTGCTGTATTTTCGTGTTTTATGTGATTTTGGAAGAGGGTTTCTGCCTCACCTCTCACACTGCCATCTTTTTTCTGAGTTCTCCCATTGTATGTTTCATTTCAGATCCTGTATTCTTCAGCTCTGAGTGCCTCTTTTGCAGATCTTTTTGTTAAAGTCCTCCCTGAGATTGTAGATATTTCTCATTAGATTTGATCATGTTTATGACTTTTACTTTGAAGTCTTTGTCAAGAAGATTGGCAATTTCAGTTTCATTCAGGCCTCTTTCTGGTGTTTTGTCTTGTAGTTTTGTTTGGAACAAATTCCTCTGCCTTCTCATTTTTTTCAGTGTTGCCTATGGATTAATAGCTTTATGTTAGAGGTACCTTCTAGTGCCCAGAAGCTCAAAACATGTCACTGTCCAGTGCAGAAGCCCCAGCTGTTAGGGTGCAGTGGGCGGGGTGCCTTTCTGTCTGGCTTGTAGTGATCTGATTTCAGGTGGGCTGTTTGCTTGACCCTGCCTTGTGGTCAGCTCAGAAATCTCTGCTGGAGTTGCTGTGGGTGGGGCTCCCCTTCGCCTGGGCTGTAGCATTGGCAGGACTGCAGGTGGGCAGGACTGGCTCCTGCCAGGAAAAAGGAGCTCCAGGGGCTGTCTCTTGTAGGCAGTTCCCTGTCTGGGGCCAGGAAAGCTCGGAGGGTCTCCCTCCGCCTACATGGCAGCAAAGTTTGACACCAGTGCTGAGTCAAGTGGGCTGTCAGCTGGTTACACGTGCAGGGAGAAGCCTTGGTGCTGCACTTCTGGAGTTCCTCTGGGCGGACTCGCCATCTGCCTGGCCCAAAGCAATGGCACGGGCCTCAGGTGGGCTTGCCCAGTGCCTGCCTGGAGGAAGGAACTTCTGGGGCTGGCTCCTGCTGGCAATTTTCTGGCTAGGCTAAAACAGGGTCAGGAAAGCTGGGAGGGTCTCCCTGTGCCTACGTGGCAGCAAAGTCAGACCCCACTGCCGGATCAAGTGGGTGGTCTGCAGGCCACGCGCTGCAGGGAGAATCTTTGGGGCTGCATTGCCAGTGAGGGGGATGGAGTGTTTGGGGCTCTTGAGAATTCTCAAACTGTTGGGCTCAGGGAGGACTGGGGAGGTATTTTCCACCTGCCCTTTCTCCTGAGCAGAGAGCTCCATGTGACCCTTGCCCCTTTGGCCTCCTCATGGAAGTCTTTCAAACTCCTGCTTTGCTTTTGTCTCAGGGGGCAGTAGAGTGTGCCTGTTTTCCACAGGAGGCTGGAATCTCAGCTGCCCTATGTTCCACCTGTTTCTGGTGTCCAGGCCACTAATTGCTAGAGCACCATGTAATGTGGGTTCATGCTTGGGGAGCAGATCTCTTGGGCCAGGTGTTCAGTGATCCTGGGTTCCTACTCTCTCTGCTCTGTTCTTCTTCCTCCTGCCTGTGGGCTGGGGTATGGGGAGGGCTTGGGTCCCGCTGGATTTTGGCTTTATCACTTTACCTTTTTCTGTGAGGTCTTCTCTTCCCCAGATGTTGGTAGTCAGTTCTGCAGTCTTTAGGTCATTTTTAGGCTTAGTTGTATTTGCTATATTTTCTTCTTTTATGTGTTTTTGGGAAGAGGATTCCACCTTGCTTTCTTACTCTGCCATCTTTTTCTCAGAACGTCTAACAGTTATTATGATCTGTCTTTTTGACTAGTGGATGTGAAGTGGTATCTCATTGTGGTTTTGATTTTCATTTCTCTGATGACTAATAATGTTGACCATCTTTTTATATGTTTATTGGCCATTTGTATATTTTCTGTGGAGAAATATCTTCACACCGTGTTTTTGAAAAGCATTTATTGCCAAATGTATTTTGAATAATGTATTTGAAACCAAAATATAAATTATAGCTAGGTCATTAAATATCACTTAACCTCCTTTAGGGTATATTTAAAATTGGAAGAAGGACATCATAGGAATTATTGGTCCTTATACACTTTTTAATGAAAATTGACTTTTTTTTTAGTGCTTCATTGGAATTTGGAAATCTAGATGAAAGTTCTCTGGTTCAATCAAATGAAAGTGACCTCAGTGCTGAAGACAGAGAGCTCCTGAAAACTTATCATCACAGTTTTGATGATGAAAAAGTAGACTTGGATTTGATCATGCATCTTCTATACAATATCTGCCATAGTTGTGATGCTGGTAAATACATGTTGCCTAAAAGAACTGAAATGAAAATATATACATTGACTTAAAAATTCCTTGTGTACAAATTTTTATATAATTCTGTTGTTAGCACCACATAAATAATCTCTTAAGTATTATAAGTATTACAGTTTATCAATACTTGAAAACACTCACATGATATATAGTTCTGTTGATTGGTTCTGGTTTTACGATGAGATTAAAAAAATTAATCTTCTCCAAGGTGCAATATTAATTTTTCTACCTGGATATGATGAAATTGTTGGATTGAGGGATCGAATCCTGTTTGATGATAAGCGGTTTGCTGACAATGCACACAGGTAAAAACTAAAGCTTTATGTTTCTTGCTTTAAATAACATAGGAACCATAGAGTATTTTCTCTTCCAATTGTCAACAGATATCAAGTCTTTCTGCTTCATTCAAATATGCAAACATCTGATCAAAAGAAGATTTTAAAAAGCCCACCTGCAGGTGTTCGAAAAATAGTAAGCTTCATAAAATCTTCTTTTGTCCTATTTATTAGTCATTGGTTCTGATTTTGCACTAACTAAAACATAACATTCCATTGCAGATCCTTTCCACCAATATTGCTGAAACCAGTATCACAGTCAATGATGTTGTCTTTGTCATTGATTCTGGTAAGGTGAAAGAGGTATGTATGGATAAGTTGTATTTTTACTTCAAGGAAGATTAAGTTCTATTGCAATAGATGCTTTTATATAACCAGAATTCACTTTAATGGGAGAATTTCTGATTCTAGATGAATTTATCATAGTAAATGTTGGTTTTGCTAAGGTGGATGTTCTACCTTAAACAATTCAGTATATAGAATCTATTTTGTTATTTTTAACAAATTACCCAAAAAAATTAGCTTTACTTGCTAAAAGCTAAGAAGAAAGTAAAGGGTTGGGCTAGTTACAGTGAAAGTTTTGTCAAACAGTAGTCCATGTCCTTCTTGTTCATTGTTATATTTACAGTGCTCCACATATAGTAGGTTATTCAAAAGAAATTTAATTTCAAGAGAACCATATTGAGAGAAAGCAAGCACACATAGAACCAGGGTTCAGCAAATGATAGCAGCCAAATTAGGCCCATCACCTGCTTTTATAAAAATAAATTTCACTGAAACATTCTCATGTCCAATCTTTTACCTGTTGCTTATGGCTGCTTTTACACTGCAATACCAACTTGAGTGGTTATAACAAGGACCCTCTGCAAGGCTAAAGTAATTTATTGCCAACTCCTGATATAACTAAATGGCAGCATTTATTTCTTTTTGGTATTGGAATGCCCAGCAATTCTCAATACGCTTAACTTTGGTAGATCATTTCACAGAAAGAATTGAAAGTGATAGAGGTAGTTGATTTTTCAAGAAAGAAATACTATACATGTTGGAAAGCATATAATAATGTCTGTTCTAGTGGATATAAATGATTTTTTATGTGAACAAATTTGTTATTTGCTTTATAATGTCTTCAGTATAATATTTAGGACTACTTTACAGAAAATAAAGTCCTATAAATTTGGACATTTCATTACAGTTGGCTGTCGTAAAGGAGGGATAAAATTTTAGTTTATTTTTTTATTTTATTTTATTTATTTTGGTATCATTAATCTACAATTACATGAAGAACATTATGTTTACTAGGCTCCCCCTTCACCAAGTCCCCCCCACATACCCCTTCACAGTCACTGTCCATCAGTGTAGTAAGATGCTGTAAAATCACTCTTTGTCTTCTCTGTGTTGCACAGCCCTCCCTGTGCCCCTCCCCCCACTATACATGCTAATCGTAATGCCCCCTTTGTTTTTCCCTGCTCTTATCCCTCCCTTCCCACCCATCCTCCCTAGTCCCTTTCCCTTTGGTAATTATTAGTCCATTCTTGGGTTCTGTGATTCTGCTGCTGTTTTGTTCCTTCAGTTTTTCTTTGTTCTTATACTCCACATATGAGTGAAATCATTTGGTATTTGTCTTTCTCCGCCTGGCTTATTTCACTGAGCATAATACCCTCTAGCTCCATCCATGTTGTTGCAAATGGTAGGATCTGTTTTTTTCTTATGGCTGAGTAATATTCCATTGTGTATATGTACCACATCTTCTTTATCCATTCATCTACTGATGGACATTTAGGTTGCTTCCATATCTTGGCTATTGTAAATAGTGCTGCGATAAACATAGGGGTGCATCTGTCTTTTTCAAACTGGAGTGCTGCATTCTTAGGGTAAATTCCTAGAAGTGGAATTCCTGGGTCAAATGGTATTTCTATTTTGAGCATTTTGAGGAACCTCCATACTGCTTTCCACAATGGTTGAACTAATTTACATTCCCACCAGCAGTGTAGGAGGGTTCCTCTTTCTCCACAACCTCGCCAACATTTGTGGTTGATTGTCTTTTCGATGATGGCGATCCTTACTGGTGTGAGGTGATATCTCATTGTGGTTTTAATTTGCATTTCGCTGATGACAAGTAATGTGGAGCATCTTTTCATGTGTCTGTTGACCATCTGAATTTCTTCTTTAGAGAACTGTCTATTCAGCTGCTCTGCCCATTTTTTAATTGGATTATTTGCTTTTTGTTTGTTGAGGTATGTGAGCTCCTTATATATTTTGGATGTCAACCCTTTATCGGATCTGTCATTTATGAATATATTCTCCCATACTGTAGGATACCTTTTTTGTTCTATTGATGGTGTCTTTTGCTGTACAGAAGCTTTTTAGGCTTGATATAGTCCCACTTGTTCATTTTTGCTTTTGTTTCCCTTGCCCGGAGAGATATGGTCATGAAGAAGTCACTCATGTTTATGTCCGTGAGAATTTTGTCTATGTTTTTTTCTACTTACATTCAGGTCTTTGATCCATTTCTTATTCACTTTTGTCTATGGGGTTAGACAGTGATCCAGTTTCATTCTCTTACATGTAGCTGTCCAGTTTTGCCAGCACCATCTGTTGAAAAGACCATCCAGCTGTGGGGTCCCTGTCCCTTTAAGACTTTCAAAAAGCACTTGCTTTTCTTTGTCCTGGGGGCGCTGACTGCGGGGACCCGCTCACAGGTCTTACTGTCCTGTTTCCCTAGTTTCCAGCACCCCATGCACGCAATGTGTCTGTGCTTCCGTGCGGATGGCTAGGGCTGGCTATTTAGCAGTCCTGGGCTCCCTCTCCCTCCCCGCTCCGACTCCTCTCCTCCCGCTGGGAGCTGGGATGAGGGGCGCTCGGGTCCTGCCAGGCTGGGGCTTGTATCTTACCCCCTTCGCTAGGCACTGGGTTCTCGCAGGTGTGGATGTAGTCTGGCTGTTGTCCTGTGAAGTCTTCTGGTCTCTCTTTTAGGAAGAGTTGTATTTGTTGTATTTTTAAAAATATATGTGGTTTTGGGAGGAGATTGCTGCTGCTCTACTCATGCCGCCATCTTGGCTCCAAACCTCCGGGATAAAATTTTTAAAGAGGATAGTGATGAGTTTCACCACTACATGTCTGAGTGGCAAGTCAATGAAAACTCAGATTTAATTCCCCTAAAATTATCTAATGCTGATGAAATAGATTTTGAATATTTTGGAAATAAATTCCTTTAGGTGTGTTATTTATTAAGTAGAGCACGTTAGAACATGATGGTCATGTCAAAGTTATTTACATACAAAGTTGCCAAATATGACATTTTATTAAAAGTGAAGTAAGCAGCATGTTTTCTAAAAATTCCATAATCAAATTATTGAGAGAACACATTTGTATTTGCTCTATCTAGTTATTTATGAAAAGGAAAGTATAAATCACTAAATGATTAAAGTATACATTCCAGCTAGGAATGCATTCTTTTAAAAGAGTTCTGTACAGTAAATTTTTACTTTAGATTCATTGAGGAAGTATGGGGGTAGTAATGAATCTTTTTTACTTTCTCTTTTATAATATTCCAGTTGGGCTAATTGCATTAGTAAGTAGTTCAGGAGGAGGTAAAATCGAAGAGGTTAAAAAATTCTTCTCTTTGGGATAGATTTAGTTCAATGATGGTTATTCTTATTCCTCCAGATCAGGTCCCTGGGAAATATTTCAGAAGCTATCTTTCACTGATCACTCATATATCCACAGTGATGTAAATCTGATAGAAAATGACTTTAAGAGAATAAATCAGTTCTCTCCAATCTTAATGCCTTATGGGAATTGACTGCCATTAACCATCTGTAGCAGAGAGAAGCAAATAGCTCAGCAAGGCACAGAACAAGGAAGTTTCACAGCTCTTCTGTTTAGTTTTCATTCTTTTTCCTTAGAATATTTATAATCAGAATCTGGGTTTTAAAAAAGATCTAATTATCTAATTAGGAATTAAACATGGCATGTTAAAATATATTCATAGTGTTTCTTATTTCTTCTTAAATACCTTTTATGTTTTAACGTGAAGATAACTTAAATATTACAGAAATCCTTTGATGCACTGAACTTGGTTACAATGTTAAAAATGGTGTGGATTTCCAAAGCTAGTGCCATACAGCGTAAAGGCAGGTAATGTATATTTAATGTATGTTCATTCAATTGTCTGTAAAATGGAAACATTTTCATATATGTTACATATTTAATATATATTCCACTTCTTATAAAATGTTGAAATTTTGAGGTTAGTCTTAATTTTTATATTGTTTTTGCAAAGCAGATCATTTTAATACTTTTTTTAGAAGTCAAATTCAGGTTATTTTAAAATTAAAAATTTTTACCTAGTATAATCATAGGAAGCTTAAAAAGCAAAAGTTAAAGCAAAAATTCTAAACATTCACAATACAGGACAAGGACTAATTTCTGTATTGTACAAAAAGCTCTTTAAAATAAATTCATAAAGACCAATACATTAACCTCATAATACCACCCCATATATACTAAAAGAAATTTAAATTAATGAGGAACTATTTTTTACTTATCAAATTGGCATCAATGTTTGGTATGATTTCTTTAGAGGGTGGTTTGAAACTGTTTATCCAAATCTACCTTTGACAATAAATTGTACTTCTCATAACTTACCCTGAGTATCCTTGCATATGTGTGCAAAGGTATGTGTTTAAGAATGTTGTTTTGCAACATTGCTTGTAGTAGTTAAGTCTGGAAACACTCTAGTGTCCATAAATAGTGAAATGGTTAAGTGATGTAATAGCCATATAGTAGTATACTAAACTTTTAAAAGGAAAGATGTAGATGTATGTGTTTTTATGTGGAATGAGTTTTCAGAATGTATTATTAATTGAAAATAAAGAAGGTATAGAACATGTATCTATTGTGCTAAAAATATGTTTAAGTTTGTATATATATTTAGATACAAATGCATTGTCTAGTCTGAGATAAACATTAAGAAAACAATTGTTGCTGACTCTGAGGAGGAGGATTTGTGGGGCTCTTGAAGGAAGGAGACTTAATTTTCATTTTATAGTTTTTTGTAGCTTGGTTATTTATTTCAGTACATGCTTTTGTTACTTTTTCATTTTTAAAAAGGCAAGATTAAAAATCAGTTGTCAGTAATTATATGACTAATTATTCTTGCATTTTAACTAATAGGGAAACATCAAATGCTGACTTTGAAAGAGTGCTTCATATGCCAAAGACAGTGAATGCATCGTTTCTGTACTTTGTAACTTCACAGATTGCCCCTTGGGGGCTTTGTTGCTGTTACTGTGTCAGTTGTCCTCTCATGACAAAGTGTGGCTTGACACATGGAACTGGACTTATATGGTGTTAATAGTATATTATCAGGGGTAAAAATCAGAAATTGTAGAAATTGTCATTGTTATCTTTTTCAATAGATACTTTGTGACAGCCTTCACTATGCAAGCTTGGGATATAATGATCAGTAAACTATACCCATCCAAACTATGGGTAAAGTTTGGATGGAGGGAATGTTGCATTCCATCTTGGAATCCAATAAATGAAGCAGTTTTAATATTGTGTGATCTGTGCTACAACTGGATAATGCTCCCAGAGGAGTTAAGATAGAATCTGAGATAAATATGAATAACAAGGTGCTGTGGAAAGGGATTTCTGGCAGAGGGAGAGCATATACAAGGGCCTAAAGGGCAAGAGTGAGCAAGAAAGTTGTTTGGATGGAGCTGAGTATAGAGGAGAATAGTGAAAAATGAGTGGAAAGAGGTAAGTTTCAGACTGTCCTTAAGGACCATCTTGTGTTTTGTTTTTTTTTCCTTCTTAATAAACTGGGGTAGGGCATGGTTATAGTATTTTTTCAGCTCTCTGAAAAATGAATTGGTAGTGATAAAATGATGGTAGGAGGACCCAGTAGGAGGCTGTTTGGTTAAAACTTCCATCTGTAATAAGGGAGAGTTGATAGCCTGAATTGTTACAGTGATCATAGAAATAAAGAGAAGTAAATAATTCAGGAGATTTTGGGGAGAATAATTTTGGTGATCATATGTCTAGTGTGAGGGGTAAAGAATAGAGTGGAGTCAAGGATGTCATACAGGTTTCTGTGTGTGGATGGTGGTGCCATTGTCAGGGAGAATGGGAAGAGTGGTTATGTTGGGAAGAAGAATAAAGTTTTGGTTGTGTTGAGTTTGAGTTGACTGGGAAATCTCCGTGGAACTAAGAGACTTCTGAAGTGTAGATCTAGAATTAAGATATGGAGATCTAGGTGGTAATTGTCATTGTTATCTTTTTCAATAGATACTTTGTGACAGCCTTCACTATGCAAGCTTGGGATATAATGATCAGTAAACTATACCCATCCAAACTATGGGTAAAGTTTGGATGGAGGGAATGTTGCATTCCATCTTGGAATCCAATAAATGAAGCAGTTTTAATATTGTGTGATCTGTGCTACAACTGGATAATGCTCCCAGAGGAGTTAAGATAGAATCTGAGATAAATATGAATAACAAGGTGCTGTGGAAAGGGATTTCTGGCAGAGGGAGAGCATATACAAGGGCCTAAAGGGCAAGAGTGAGCAAGAAAGTTGTTTGGATGGAGCTGAGTATAGAGGAGAATAGTGAAAAATGAGTGGAAAGAGGTAAGTTTCAGACTGTCCTTAAGGACCATCTTGTGTTTTGTTTTTTTTTCCTTCTTAATAAACTGGGGTAGGGCATGGTTATAGTATTTTTTCAGCTCTCTGAAAAATGAATTGGTAGTGATAAAATGATGGTAGGAGGACCCAGTAGGAGGCTGTTTGGTTAAAACTTCCATCTGTAATAAGGGAGAGTTGATAGCCTGAATTGTTACAGTGATCATAGAAATAAAGAGAAGTAAATAATTCAGGAGATTTTGGGGAGAATAATTTTGGTGATCATATGTCTAGTGTGAGGGGTAAAGAATAGAGTGGAGTCAAGGATGTCATACAGGTTTCTGTGTGTGGATGGTGGTGCCATTGTCAGGGAGAATGGGAAGAGTGGTTATGTTGGGAAGAAGAATAAAGTTTTGGTTGTGTTGAGTTTGAGTTGACTGGGAAATCTCCGTGGAACTAAGAGACTTCTGAAGTGTAGATCTAGAATTAAGATATGGAGATCTAGGTGGATGGAAATTGAAGTCAGGAGGATGGTGAAAATTGCCTTGGGCGAGAGGGTAGGTTAAGGAGAGCAGAGGGCTGAGGTCCAACCTTAGAGGAACACCAACATTTAAAGGCTGGGCAAAGATAGAAGTCACACAGAGGGGATGGATAGCTGGGACAGCCGACTGGTAGATAGAGGGAAGTATTTGGTAAAGGAATGTATGGTGGGACAATGTGAGATTTTGTAACTTGTATCACACTGTGTTACAGTTTTGTTTGCTGCTCTGGATTGTGAGCTATGTGAGCACAGGGATATTTCTGTGTCTCTATCACTTAGCATGTTCAGCCTTGCCATTAGCCATAGTGACCATGGGTGAAATAAAACTGCTTTTCCTTAAGATATTTTTCTGCTACTTCCCAGAAAATTATACAGTTCTCTATGGTGATAGGATAAATGACATTCCCTTGGAGTTGTGTAATGCATGTTTGTGCAGCTCTAGTCAGAGGACGTGAACACAGTGCTGTCGCTCAGTAAAACTGATTATATTTAAATTTTCCTGCATTTATTCATACTTTATTTTTTACTTTCGTATGTATGTCTTTTGTTTGTTTTCTACCGTGATCCTAGAAGGCCTGTCACTTAGGTGTCATTTATGAATTTCACTTTGTGCAGAGATAATTGAGTTGTAGACAACTGAAGTGCCTCCTGAAAGGATTTGTAGGGAATAAATATCAGAGTAGGGATTCAAATTTAGATGCCTGATCCTGGTTCATTCTTCTGTCTCCTAAATCACATTGCTTTTACAGTTTCTTGTTATAATCTTTATCCTTGTTTGAGCCTTAATTTTGTATTATACTTTTAAGGGCAGGGCGATGTAGACCTGGAATTTGTTTCCGGCTGTTCAGTAGACTCCGATTTCAGAATATGTTGGAATTTCAGACTCCAGAACTTTTGAGAATGCCATTACAGGTAGAAATTTACTTAACTCTAAAAGGCTGTTTTTATGGGTGAGGGAGGAGAGGGCTCATTACAACTGTACTAATTGGGCTTTAGATAATCAATTTATGAACAAAATTACAATATATATATTTTAGAGGGTGGCTATATGAATATTTTTTTCTGTATGAAAAATTTAACTCAGAAGCCTCCAAAAATATAAAGAATTATTTGAGTGCATTTAGATTTTGGTATAGCTTATAAATATATTGTTTTTTTCAATGCAACATGCTGGGAGTCTGTCGACCACATAGTGTTTAACTTTTGTGATCTCAATGAGGATTAGAAAATAAATTATTTAAGGTCCAAAAGATGATACCAAAAAAATCTCAATTTAAAATACTGAGATTACCTTGGTAATCTTGGTTCACTGAGAATTCCTGGCCTTTATTAACTGTTTTCCTTTAGATTTTCTGATTTCATGGAACAATCAGACACTGTGTAGTATCTAGAGAAAACAGTACATTCATTACTTTGATTCTCTGTGGTGCCGAGCTAGATGCTGGCTTCCGAACCTTTAAAGAGAAAGTGAATGAGATAGGTGACTTCTCATTTTTCAATGCCTGTATGCCATTTTCTATTCTTCTTAAAATAAAATACATAATTCTTAACATGAGTCTTAAGTTATTTCTCCTGTTTATATCTCTGGTTTTAATTTTTAATTCCTGCCTTTCCCCATCTCTTTCAAATCACACCAGTGGTTTGAATTTCTCAAGCACGTCTTGTTTCTTTCTTAGGGCCTCTTAGGGCTTCATACGTGCTGTCTACTCTCCCTAGAGTCCTCCCCCTATTCCTTTTATAATTAATTCCTACTCAATCTTTGCATCTTAGTTTAAGTGTTGTTAACTCAGAAAAATTGTCTTTGACTTCCCATGGCTTCCTTCTCCTGCTCTTTGCTGAACTTGTTATAACAAGACATTTTTCTCCCTACTGTTCATTTTAACTAAAGACGAGTATAGTGGTATGCATTTGGGAACTACAGTTCCTATGATTTCTTTAAAAATAAAAATCAATTGTAAATTTCAATATTTCAAAATTGTTTGCTGTTCTTATTTACAGGAACTTTGTTTACATACCAAGCTGTTAGCTCCAGTTAATTGTCCTATTGCTGATTTCCTTATGAAAGCTCCTGAACCTCCACCAGCTTTAATTGTAAGAAATGCTGTACAAATGCTTAAGGTTGGTGTCCTGATAGCTTTATTTTACCTATTTTACTTGAAATGTAACCAAATGAGAATTCATCTTAACTAATTTTGTACTTGAAAAAGTTATCTTAAATAATTATGTACTTTAAGTAGTACTTTCATGATAATTTTAGTAAAACAGTAGGTGTAAGTTTTTTTATATATTTGAAGCAAAATGTATTTATAGTAAGATGTAGCAAAAGAAAAGTTAAATTCTTATTTCCTGTGGATTTTTAAGGATGTGGTTTGATTACACATTGTCTTTAGTCATGTCAAATGACTTTTTTATGCTTTTATTTAGAAAATAGATGCAATGGATGCATGGGAAGATCTCACTGAACTCGGGTATCATTTGGCTGACTTGCCAGTAGAACCACATCTTGGTAAAATGGTGCTGTGTGCTGTTGTTTTAAAGTGTCTGGACCCCATCCTTACAATTGCCTGCACGCTAGCCTATCGAGATCCTTTTGTACTGCCAGCACAGGCCTCTCAAAAATGTGCAGCTATGCTTTGTAGGAAACGATTCACTGCAGGAACTTTCAGTGACCATATGGCACTTCTAAGAGCATTTCAGGTACTGTTATTGTCATTTTATTTCTGAAAATGTTGCTGGTTAAGCACATTTATGAGGGAAGCATAAGAAATTGAAAAAGATATGATTCCATTAATTTTGTTTCATTATAAAGTCACATTTTATTAACAGCCCAGGAAAACATCTTCCTACTGTTAATATGTTAAAATTATCATTGTTTTCTCTACTTTTTTGTCTTTCATTTTTCCTAATTTTCTCCTTGTAGGAATATGTGTGTGTGTGTGTATTTATTTTTATTTATACTCATATTTATTTTTTAATACCTAAGTTCCTTTCAGTCATATCTTGGGCAAGGAATGCTCTAAAAGTTTAGTTAAAAAGTTGCATATTATTTAAAGTATATAGAATAAAACTTGGGGGAAAATTATCTTGAATTTGGTACCTCTTTGTTGTATTTTTTTCTTTTTTTCTTGTGTGCTCAAGACACTATGCTAAGAACTTAATCTTATAAAGCAACATCCGAACATAACCAACTTTTAAGATAACAGTAGTGAGAAATCAAAGAAAGTGACAAATGGTGAAAAAAAAGATAAGGAAGGTAGGACTCTGATGAAGGGAAATGATATATAATTTAGAAATTTAAATAGGTGAGGAAGAATATAATTTCTTGAAAAGGTGGACATGTTATTTATTTTCTTGAATGTAGGCTGTGCCTATACATTAAAAAAAATTTCATTTTGTTTATGCAGAAAGTACTCTTTTCCAAGCATACAGGGTTTTTTCAGTACATCCAAAAAAAATTGCGAGTTCTTTTGTAAGCGTTACTGAACAATGGATGATACATTAGTATTAATTAAGTCTATTAGAAACCACATATTAGAGTAGATTCGTTGTGTGATAATGGTTGAGGGAGATTGTGAGTAGGATTCCTATCTGTTCTTTGCTTTATCCTAAGCTTCTTCAAAAGCAGAGAGTACAAATTACTGGGTTGGTCTTTGTGATATATTCCCGAGCAAGTGATTTCATTTTCAAGGAGCATTCTTGTACTGATAGATGGTTTCTAGAAATCCCACTTTCCATTCTCAGACAGATTAAGAGGTTGATATACAGGTTATTTTTGGAGGACCAGCATGGCAGGATTCTTAGATAAAACTGGTATTAAGGGCGGCGGGAGGAAGGCAGGAGGCTGCTGGGCCGTGCGCGGGCTGCCGCTGGGGAAGGGACCCTAAGGTGTCTGCTGCGGCTTGTCTGTCACTCGCGCGGACTGGGGTGCCAGGACCATGGGTCCGCTCCCCTGAGGCGGAGGTCATGGGCAGGATGGTAGGAGGCCCGCGAGAGGCTGCTGCGGAAGCCGCGGGCCCGTGACTGGGCACCAGACGGCCGGCGGCGGCACCACCACCACCACCACCACCACCATCACTACCATGTCGCGCTCGGTGTTGCAGCCCAGTCAGCAGAAGCTGGCGGAGAAGCTCACCATCCTCAATGACCAGGGCATCGGCATGCTCACCCGCCTCTACAACATCAAGAAGGCATGTGGAGACCCCAAGGCAAAACCATCCTACCTTATTGACAAAAACCTGGAATCTGCTGTGAAGTGCATAGTCAGAAAGTTCCCTGCTCTAGAAACCCGCAACAACAATCAACAGCTTGCACAACTTCAGAAAAAAAATCTGAGATTCTGAAAAATTTGGCATTATACTACTTCACATTTGTAGATGTTATGGAATGTAAGGACCATGTTTGTGAATTGCTGAATACTATTGATGTTTGCCAAGTCTTCTTTGATATTACTGTAAACTTTGATTTAACAAAAAACTACTTAGATTTGATCATAACCTATACAGCACTAATGATGCTGCTGTCTCGAATTGAAGAAAGGAAGGCAATCATTGGATTATACAACTATGTGCATGAAATGACCTGTGGAGCAAGTGACCGAGAATACCCACGTCTTGGTTAGATGATTGTGGATTATGAAAACCCTTTAAAGAAGATGATGGAAGTATTTGTACCCCATAGCAAGTCTCTTTCAGATGCACTAATTTCTCTTCAGATGGTGTATCCTCGAAGGAATCTGTCAGCTGACCAGTGGAGAAACGCCCAATTACTGAGTCTCATCAGTGCACCCAGTACAAATGCTCAGTCCTGCACAGTTTGACACTATGCCTTGTGAATACCTCTCTTTGGATGCAATGGAAAAGTGGATTATATTTGGCTTTATTTTATGTCATGGGATCCTAAATACTGATGCGACAGCACTGAACCTTTGGAAGCTAGCTCTTCAAAGTAGCTCTTGCCTCTCACTCTTTCAAGATGAAGTTTTCCATATTCATAAAGCTGCAGAAGACTTATTTGTAAATGTAAGAAGCTATAATAAGCTCACTAATGACATAAGAGAATGCAAAGAGGCAGCTGTGTCACATGCTGGTTCAATGCACAGAGAAAGACGCAAGTTTTTAAGGTCTGCACTGAAAGAGTTGGCTACTGTCCTTTCTGATCAACCTGGCTTGCTGGGTCCCAAGGCACTTTTTGTTTTTATGGCATTATCCTTTGCCCGTGATGAAATTATCTGGCTACTTCGTCATGCAGATAATATGCCAAAGAAGAGTGCAGATGACTTTATAGATAAGCACATTGCTGAATTAATATTTTAGATGGAAGAGCTCAGAGCACATGTAAGAAAATATGGACCTGTAATGCAGAGGTATTATGTACAGTACCTTTCTGATTTTGATGCTGTTGTCCTCAATGAACTTGTACAGAATCTTTCTGTTTGCCCTGAAGATGAATCAATTATCATGTCCTCTTTTGTTAATACTACGACTTCCCTAAGTGTAAAACAAGTTGAAGATGGGGAAGTATTTGATTTCAGAGGAATGAGATTAGATTGGTTTAGATTACAGGCATATACTAGTGTCTCTAAGGCTTCACTTAGCCTTGCAGATCACAGAGAACTTGGAAAGATGATGAATACGATAATTTTTCATACAAAAATGAATTCCACTCCTTGGTGGAAATGTTGGTGGAAACATCAGATCTCTCCATATTTTGTTTTTATAGTCGTGCTTTTGAGAAGATGTTTCAACAATGTTTGGAGTTACCCTCTCAGTCAAGATACTCAATTGTGTTTCCATTGCTTTGCACTCATTTTATGAGTTGCACACATGAACTGTGTCCAGAAGAGCGACATCGTATTGGAGATCGCAGTCTTTCCTTATGTAATATGTTCCTGGGTGAAATGGCCAAACAAGCTCAAAATCTCATCACTGATATTTGCACAGAACAGTGTACTCTTAGTGATCAGTTGCTGCCCAAGCATTGTGCCAAAACCATTAGTCAAGCAGTGAATAAGAAGTCAAAAAAACAGACTGGTAAGAAAGGGGAACCTGAAAGGGAAAAACCAGGTGTTGAGAGCATGAGGAAAAACAGACTGGTAGTGACCAACCTTGACAAATTGCACACTGCACTTTCTGAGTTGTGTTTCTCTATAAATTATGTACCAAACATGGTGGTTTGGGAGCATACCTTTACCCCAAGAGAATATTTAACTTCTCATCTGGAAATCCGCTTTACTAAGTCAATTGTTGGAATGACTATGTATAGCCAAGCCACACAGGAAATTGCAAAACCATCAGAGCTTCTAACAAGTGTAAGAGCTTACATGACTGTACTCCAGTCCTTAGAAAACTATGTGCAAATTGATATTACAAGAGTATTTAATAATGTTCTTCTTCAACAAACACAACACTTAGACAGTCATGGAGAGCCAACTATTACAAGTCTATACACAAATTGGTACTTGGAAACTTTGTTAAGACAAGTCAGCAATGGTCATATAGCTTATTTCCCTGCGATGAAAGCATTTGTGAACTTACCTACAGAAAATGAATTAACATTCAGTGCAGAGGAATATTCTGACATATCAGAAATTAGGTCATTATCAGAACTGCTAGGCCCATATGGTATGAAGTTCCTAAGTGAAAGCCTTATGTGGCATATTTCTTCACAAGTTGCTGAACTTAAGAAACTTGTGGTGGAGAATGTTGATGTGCTCACACAAATGAGGACCAGCTTTGACAAACCAGACCAGATGGCTGCACTCTTTAAGAGATTATCATCTGTTGACAGTGTCTTGAAGAGGATGACAATAATTGGTGTAATTTTATCCTTCAGATCATTGGCACAAGAAGCGCTTAGAGATGTCTTATCCTACCACATTCCTTTTCTTGTAAGTTCAATTGAAGATTTCAAGGATCACATTCCAAGGGAAACGGATATGAAGGTTGCAATGAATGTGTATGAATTATCTTCAGCTGCTGGATTACCTTGTGAAATTGATCCTGCCTTGGTGGTAGCTCTCTCCTCGCAGAAATCAGAAAACCTAAGTCCAGAAGAAGAATATAAGATTGCCTGCCTCCTCATGGTCTTTGTGGCAGTTTCTTTGCCAACACTGGCCAGTAATGTCATGTCTTAGTATAGCCCTGCTGTAGAAGGGCACTGCAATAACATACATTGCTTGGCCAAAGCCATCAACCAGATCACTGCCGCTTTGTTTACAATCCACAAAGGAAGCATTGAAGACCGTCTTAAAGAATTTCTAGTGCTTGCATCCTCCAGTCTACTGAAAATTGGCCAGGAGACAGATAAAACAACAACAAGAAATAGAGAATCTGTTTATTTACTGCTAGATATGATTGTGCAAGAATCCCCGTTTCTGACAGTGGATCTTTTGGAATCTTGTTTTCCTTACGTCGACTGCTGAGAAATGCATACCGTGCTGTCTACAAGCAAAGTGTTACATCTTCTGCATAAAGTATCTCCTTATTGAAGACAAGCACGCATTTTTGTCTCCTAGGTTTTACCTGTAAACTGTGGATCTCTTTTACCTTAAGGCCTGAAAAACAGTTTTGTGGATTATAAATTTCTTTCATACGGTTGTATTTTCTGATCACTGGTTTCGTAATATGGTTGTATTACAGTACTTGACTGATTTAGGTTACACATTCACTGAATTCACTGAAATTATTCCTATAATTTTAGAGTATCATTTGTTTGGAAAATGTTATCTCTATGTTTTTGATATTTGATAATGAAAATAACCCTTTGTTTGTTTATTTCTGAAAAAAATTGTATTTAGTGATTATTTTAGATAGTGGTATTACAGCATTCATCTGTGTGTAAATTATTTCATATAGGGAAGAGTTCTGATCTGTACCTATGGTTCTTATTGAAAACAAAAACTGGATGTGCATTTCTGTGATGTTATGAATACATTTCTACTTTATTTTGAAACATTTGCCAAACTAAATACTATAACACTGTATAACATTAAAAATGTTAAAGGACTGCTTAGCATTAGAAGCAGACTGTGTTCCAAAATTCTGAAACAGCAGCATATGTTGTTGCTTGTATAAAGCCTAGTGATAATTTTTAGAATAAACTTCCATGGTGCCCTGTTGGCATTAGCACTACCATTGTACCCTGCTGTATAATAAACAATCTTAGACATTTATCCACTGTTGATACAAATGTTAGTCCTTAACCACTTTTTATATGTTTTAAATTTTTGAAATTCAAGTGTATGTGCCATAACATAAAATAAACACTAGACTGGAAAACAAAAACAAAAAACTAGTATTATGAGGGCTTAGTTGAAAACCTCCCATACTTTGATGGAGGGAAATTAGCAGACACACCTTAAAAGGTAAATATTTTTATATAGCTGGTCATTTAGGTTACCTGGTACTTAGTTCTCATTGGGATTTTATTTTCTCATTGGCTTTCATAGCATTTGAGTGTAAATTAACTAATGATAAATTTTATTGGATTATGAAGTATTAGATTTTACTTTTTATATCTGTTTTTAAATTATTTTTTAAAACAGATATAATTGAAATATAACATTAGTTGCAGGTGTATAACAATTTATATATATTGTAAAATCATCAGTAAGTCTAGTTATCTATCACCATACATAGTTACAGGGTTTTTTTCTTGTATTGAGAACTTTTTCTTTTTTAATGTGTTTATCTACTATTTATTTCATGGGAAAGGCTTCTGGTCAATAGTAAACTATTAGTAGCTAAGTTTATGGGTAGTCAAAAGTTATACAGGAAATTTTTTAACATTAAAGTATTGCTGATACACCATCTTATGTTGGTTTCAAATATGCAACACAGTGGTTCAACAGCTACCCATAATTACATCCTCAACCCCTTTAGTGCTATTACTGTCAATGTAGTAAGATGTTACAGAATCATTGACTATATTCTCCATGCTGTACTACCGTCCCCGTGACTAACTTATATTGTGGTTGCGAATTATAGTGCCCCTTTATCCTCCTTCCTCTACCTCACCACCCTCCTCACCCCCTCTCCCTGGGTAACCACTAGTCCCTTCTTGGTGTCTATGAGTCTACTGCTATTTTGTTCCTTCTGTTTTGCTTTGATTTTATACTCCACAGACAAGTGAAATCATATGGTATTTGTCTTTCTCCACCTGGCTTATTTCACTGAGCATAATACTCTCTAGATCCATCCACATTGTTGCATATGGGAGGATTTCTTTTCTTTTTAAGGCTGAATAATATTTCATTGTGTATATGTATCACATCTTCTTTATCCATTCATCTATTGATAGATACTTAGGTTGCTTCTGTATCTTGGCTATTGCAAATAGTGCACAATAAACATGGAGGTGCATGAGTCTTTTTGAATCAGGGATCTTGTTTTCTTTCGGTAAATTCCTAGGAGTGGAATGACTGGGTCAAATGGTATTTCTAATATTAGTTTTCTTTTTTTCTTTCCTTAAGGTATCATTGATATACAATCTTACGCTCAGGTTTCACATGAGCAACACTGTGGTTACTACATTTCCCCTATTATCAAGTCCCCACCACATACCCCATTACAGTCACTGTGCTATACTTCCTTCCCCATGCCCTATATTATGTGTGCTAATCATAATGCCCCTTAATTCCCTTATCCTCCCTCCCTTCCCACCCATCTTTCCCAACCCCTTTCCCTTTAGTAACCACTAGTCCATTCTTGGGTTCTGTGAGTCTGCTGCTGTTTTGTTCCTTCAGTTCTTGCTTTGTTGTTATACTCCACAGATGAGTGAAGTTATTTGGTACTTGTCTTTCTCCACCTGGCTTATTTCACTGAGCATAATACCCTCTAGCTCCATTCATATCGTTGCAGATGGTAGGATTTGTTTTCTTCTTATGGCTGAATAATATTCCATTGTGTATATGTACCACATCTTTTTTATCCATTCATCTGCTGATGAACACTTAGGTTGCTTCCATGTCTTGGCTATTGTAAACAATGCTGCGATAAACATAGGAGTGATACGTGTTTTTGAATCTGTAATCCTGTTTTCTTAGGATAAATTCCTAGGAGTGAAATTCCCAGGTCAAATGGTATTTCTATTTTTAGTTTTTTGAGGAACCTCCATACTGTTTTCCACAACGGTTGAACTAATTTACATTCTCACCAGCAGTGTAGGAGGATTCCCCTTTCTCCACATTCTTGCCAGCATTTGTTTTTGTTTGTCTTTTGGATGTTGGCTGTCTAAACTGGTGTGAGGTGAGAACTCATTGTGGTTTTAATTTGCATTTTTCAGATGGTTAGCAATGTGGAGCATATGTGCCTGTTGGCCATCTGAATTTCTTATTTGGGATCTGTTCAGATCCCCTGCCCATTTTTTAATCAGGTTATTTGCTTTTTGGTTGTTGAGGCTCATGAGTTCTTTATATATTTTGGATATCAACCCCTTATCAGATGTCATTTATGAATATATTTTCCCATACTGTAGGATGCTTTTTTGTTCTACTGATGGTGTCCTTTGCAGTACAGAAGTTTAATGTAGCCCCATTTGTTCATTTTGGCTTTTGTTTCCCTTGCCTGAAGAGACATGTTCATGAAAAAGTTGCTCATGTTTATATTCAGGAGAATTTTGCCTCTGTTTTCTGCTAAGAGTTTCATGGTTTCATTACTTACATTGAGGTCTTTGATTCATTTTGAGTTTTCTTTTGTTTATGGAGTTGGACAGTAATTCAGTTTCATTCTTTTACATGTAGCTGTCCAGTTTTGCCAGCACCAGTTGTTGAAGAGGCTGTCATTTCCCCATTGTGTGTTCATGGCTCCTTTATCATACATTAATTGGCCATATATGTATGGGTTTATATCTGGGCTCTCTATTCTGTTCTGTGGCTCTGTTCTTGTGCCAGTACCAAATTGTCTTGATTACTGTGGCTTTGTAGTAGAGCTTGAAGTAGGGGAGCGTAATTCCCCCTACTTTATTTTTCCTTTTCAGGATTGTTTTGGCTATTCGGAGTCTTTTGTGATTCCAGATGAAGTTTAGAACTATTTGTTCTATTTTGCTGAAGAATGCTGTTGGCATTTTGATAGGGATTGCATTGAATCTGTAGGTTGCTTTAGGCAGGATGGCCATTTGACAATATTAATTCTTCCTACCCAAGAGCATGGGATGTATTTCCATTTATTAGTGTCCTCTTTAATTTCTCTCAAGAGTGTCTTGTAGTTTTCAGGGTATAGGTCTTTAACCTTGGTTAGGTTTATTCTTAGATATTTTATTCTTTTTGATGCAATTGTGAATGGAATTGTTTTCCTGATTTCTCTTTCTGCTAGCTCATCGTTAGTGTACAGGAATGCAACAGATTTCTGTGTATTGATTTTGTACCATGCAACTTTGCTGAATTCAGATATTAGATCTAGTAGTTTAGGATTGGAGTCTTTAGGGTTTGATACGTACAATATCATGTCATCTACAAACAGTGACAGTTTAACTTCTTCCTTACCCATCTGGATGGCTTTTATTTCTTTGTGTTGTCTGATTGCTGTGGCTAAGGCCTCCAGAACTATGTTGAATAAAAGTGGGGAGAGTATGCATCCTTGTCTTGTTCCCGATCTTAAAGGAAGGTCTTTCAGGTTCTCGCTGTTAAGTATGATGTTGGCTGTGGGTTTGTCATATATGGCCTTTATTATGTTGCGGTACCTGCCCTCTATACCCATTTTGTTGAGAGTTTTTAGCATGAATGGATGTTGAATTTTGTCAAATGCTTTTTCAGTATCTATGGAGATGATCATGTGATTTTTGTTCTTTTTGTTGATATAGCGGATGATGTTGGATTTTTGAATATTGTACCATCCTTGCATCCCTGGGATGAATCCCACTTGATCATGATATATAATCCTCTTGATGTATTTTTGAATATGGTTTGCTAATGTTTTGTTGAGTATTTTTGCATCTATGTGCATCAGGGATATTGGTCTGTAGTTTTCTTTTTTTGTTCTGTCTTTGCCTGGTTTTGTATTAGAGTGATGCTGGCCTCATAGAATGAGTTTAGACATATTCCCTCCTCTTCTGTTTTTTGGAAAACTTTAAGGAGAATGAATATTATGTCTCTTCTCTAATGTCTGCTAAAATTCAGCGGTGAATCCATCTAGTTCAGGGATTTTGTTCTTGGGTAGTTTTTTTGATTACCAATTCAATTTCATTGCTGGTAATTAGTCTGTTTAGATTTTCTGTTTCTTCCTGGGTCAGTCTTGGAAGGTTGTATTTTTCTAGAAAGTTGTCCATTTCTTCTAAGTTATCCAGTTTGTTAGCATATAACTTTTCATAGTATTCTCTAATAATTCTTTGTATTTCTGTGGTGTCTATCATGATTTTTCCTTTCTCATTTCTGATTCTGTTTATGTGTGTAGATTTCTCTTTTTTCTTGATAAGTTTACCTGCTAGGGGTTTATCTATTTTGTGTATTTTCTCAAAGAACCATCTCTTGGTTTCATTAATTTTTTTCTACTCTTTTATTCTTCTCAATTTTATTTATTTCTTCTCTGATCTTTATTATGTCCCCCTTTCTACTAACTTTGGGTCTCATTTGTTCTTTTTCCAGTTTCATTAATTGTGAATTTAAACTGTTCATTTGGGATAGTTCTTCCTTCTTTAAATAGGCCTGGATTGCTATATACTTTCCTCTTATACTTCACTGTGTCCCACAGAAGTTGGGCCTTTGCGCTGTTGTTTTCATTTGTCTCCATATATTACTGGGTTTCTGTTTTAGTTTGGTCATTGATCCATTAATTATTTAGGTGCATATTGTTAAGCCTCCATGTGTTTGTGAGCCTTTTTGTTTTCTTTGTACAATTTATTTCTAGTTTCATACCTTTGTGATCTGAGAAGTTGGTTGGTACAATATCAATCTTTTGAATTTACTGAGGCTCTTTTTGTGGCCTA